GCTTGTGACTTAGAAGTCTAAACCCCCTACAGAAAGGATTAAATTCAAACCCCCGTCTTCACATCTTTCTTCAAGCTTTATTAGCTCCACCTTGTGGAAATTCCGGATACTATTATTTTGCTAGCGGTTTTTACCGGTAACTTGCGGTAGACTGCGTACAGCGTACCGGAAAATAATGCAGTATCGCCTGCGCATTTTGAATGGCTGCATCTGTATGTACACTGTAGGACTGGTCTTACAGCTCACAATGACTGTCTGTCCAGGGAGAACAGATTTCACTGCTGGAGTCTGAGTCACAGTAACCTGTCCACTGGATTCTGGAAACATGACAAAACACAGTAAATGCAGGTATTTGATCATTAGAATCTTTGAGTTACCATTAGTAATTTCACATTCTTCTGTACACCTGGTTCACCTAATTTGCACGAATCTACAGTATAGTTTTAAAAAGTAAGTATTAAGTCATACCCTGAGCAGAGACAAGGAGTGTCCAGATGAAGATAGTGATGAAGGTCATTGTTGCTGTGGGTTCTGTCTTCAAAAATGGGAGCTCTCAGTCATAAAGTGTTAAATTAACAGGGCTATAAACACTCCCAGAGCACTGAAGCATGTGCTGCCAAGGCAAAGTGCATTTTCTATGCAAATTGTTTTCCTGTGTTAAGCAGCACTTGTAGCCCGTCAGTGCTGGAAACACATGCTTGGTGCTGTGTGTTGTGTCAGAGCAAGATGAGCAGTTTTGCATTAATGCTCCCAGGACAGCAGGACGAGACAGAGAACAACTTTATGAGTAGCAGAGGATGAGACAAAATCAGCTGAGCCTTTATCCCACTCAACACAGCTGAAATGGAATAAAATGTGGAGAGTGTGGTTAAAGCAGCACCTGGCTCTGTGTGTTCAGACACATTACTGGTTTAGTAATGCAACCCCAAGTGGTTTAACCACTGTAACTATAGACTCTCCACAGTTTTCTAATGCCATCTATATGACACAAACCATCATTCCTCTTACAGTTAACTAGATATTGGAGGTAATTGATCAGTTTTGAAAGTAGTGGGCACCGCCATTAGCATTGTCAGCTCTAAGTTCTAAGATCATACACATGCTGATCTCTGGGTTTTCATTATGTACACTTTGACACGGTCTGAAATACAGTATGTCAGCTATATCAGAGAGAAGAAGGTTGCTGCAGGAAGAGCTGTTAATTGAAGCAGTAGGGGAAGCTAACTCTGTGGTCTCTGTGGGTCCTAATGCCCCAGTATAGTGACGGGGACAATATACTGAAAAAAGGTTTAGTTCTTTGGATAAGACCTCACCAAGGTGTTGACTCAATTTGTTCATTAAAATTCCCTGTTAACCCTGGTGTCGTGGCCAGATTTCCCCCTGGCCTTTACCGATCATGGCCTACTCCTGGGGCACTTTGGCTGCTGTTGCATCATCCAGGTGGGGCAACACTTTGGTGGTGGTGGAGTGAAGTCCCTATTCCTTGTGAAGCTTTGAGTGTCCAGAGCACAGCCATAGAAATTAAATAATAAAAATAATAAATGGAGGTGGACCTTGTCAGGCAGCTCCAATCCCCCAAGGGAAATCACCAGCACGCTATAGTGGTGGGGGCAGAAAAGACCAAGACTGTTCTCCTCATGGAATTGACAAACCAATGGGAGAAGGGAATATGAGAGGAAGAGGCTGAGATAATCAGAATGTAGAGAAGCTGGATGGTGACCCTTCATCTACCCTGTGGAACTGGGATGCAGAGGCTTTACAAGTGCAGGTACATCGTCATTATGCCTCCTCAGGGTTGTGGGAATGGAGGGTATAACACTGAAGAGGGCAGTAAAGGATCTAATGGAAAAGGCGGAAAAGAGATGGTTCTGGCTGTGGCTGAGGAGAAGAGCTGGAGGCCCACAAACCCTAACAGTAGGTCAGTAGGAAATGCAGCAGGCAAAAGCCATGCAGGTTAATATCCACCTGAATTGATTACTTTATTATTATTATGATATTAAAACAAAAGATAACAAACTGAACACTTTAATGGGTAAAAGACATTGTTAGCAAAAACAAAAAACAATTCTCATACTGAAATTATTAATGGTTCTTTACCCATAACCACTATAGAAAGTACAGGTTGAGTATTGAAATTGTGATTAAAAAATTCACTGGACTGATGGGAAGAGAACATTTGTATTTCAACACAATGGGATGTCATTAGAAGGGGGTGAATAATTTTGTGTATATTATTCAAGTGAATTGATGATGCGGATTCTGTATAGAGCCATAGATCCAACAATAAACAAATCTCTGTTCATTCTAATTTTCATTGTGAATATCTGTCATTCCAGGCCATCAGGGTTATCACTTCTGCTCATTCAATCAGCATGATGGGATCTTTAATGACCAGGTAGTCAGGTCCTCAGTGTGACAGCTCATCAAGTGGACAGTATCTCCCACATTACAGTGTCTTCTGTCACTTTTTAGAGGAGATTCTGACTCAGAGACGTTCATTCATAATCTTACAGAACACAGCTTCACACCACTGGCTCCTCAGCCAAGACCAGATACCGCATTTCTGAATCTGCGGATCTTCTGCAGGATTACTGCAATTTTCTGGAAATTTGGTCCAAGAATTCTGTTCCACCTGCTTGTCCACCAACACCTCTCACAGCAGCAAACTGGTTTGGATTGGAGATCTCTGATCTCTGTACTGACACTGTCTAAACTTGCTGAATTTCTGAAAACTGACGAGATCAGGCTACAAGGTGGAAGTGCTGCTGTTGGACCTGAACTGGAGTCTTCCAAGAGAAAAGAGAAAAACTACCCTGATTCACATCAGCAAGGGAGAGGGCCATTGGCATGCTGCAGGCAGGTATGTCATGTGCCAGGATTGCCAGACACTATTTATAAGCTGCTCTTCTGTATCCCGACCGCAAAGAATGTTTCAGCAGACCGACAGGACAGATGACCATCCAAAATCCTGTCACCCTCAAGTGACCACACAAGAGCAGGACCGACACATCAGACTGGCCCATCTGAGAGATGGTTTCAGATCTGCCACCCGTACTGCTGCTGAAACAGCCGGCAGAAACAATGCCCGCATCAGTGACAGGACAGTTAGGCTCCATGCTGCAGGCCTTAGAGTGGGGTGACCTGTCAGAGGCCCTCTGCTCACACCTCCTAGACATCACACCCAAATGGCTTGGGCCAGACAGAGGCTGTGATGGACTCATCAGCAGTGGCATCATGTCCTCTTCACGAATGAGTCACTCATTAGCTTGTTCCACACAGACGGGAGGGCCAGAGTGTGTAGGAAGAGGTGTTGCGTTTCTTTTTTCCATCAGTATATTCAGATTTTTGAAACTACCTATGTTTTGCCCATTCATTTTATACCAAACAACCACAGCCCATTTCTCCTTGAATACTTTTGGACCTAATTTTAATGGACTATTTTGAGTTTACCTTTTTCTGAGGATCACTGTGCTCTTTTATGTGAATTAAAAGAAGAAAAGTAAACCTGCCTTACCCAGTTCTTTTTAATTTTTAGGTGATCATTATCCATTAGGTGTGTTTCTTGAAGCATAGCAATATCTGTGCTTTACTTTTTCAAAAAAGTCAGTATTTTCTTCCATTTAATAACATGCCATATGCAATTAACATTCCACATAATAAACTTAAGTGAACTTGTCATTGACAATCATAGAAAAGTCTAAAATACACTGATACTTTATGCTATACATTACAAAAACCTCAATGATGCTGCGAACCTGAGAGAAAAATAAATTAAAAAAAAGAAACAAGAAAAAATTACCCCCCACCCCGAGTCCCGTCCCCATATGACTAGAAACAAACAACAGGTCACTAAGCCCGATCAATAAGCAAATCAATAGAGATGTGAACAGTGAACACATCGGAATATCTGCAGCAAAAGCAGGACAGTCCCACGTAACATGAAAAAATAAAATGTAAAACAAAACTCAGCCCTAAATAACACACTAAATATTAAAATACTTGCATAATGCCAGATCACACCATAATGATGTATATATATATAATACCATAAAATTAGGACAACTACACCTACAAATTACATTTTTTTAAGAAATTGGAAAAGATTAAAACAGCTAATTATGGTGTAGTACCATACTAGATCTTTTCAAGTCTATACTACTACAATTTTCTCTGATTGAATGACAGTGAACATAAACGGGCCTAAAGTCCAACTTCTCTTCTCTATTTACCTCATTCCATTGATTCCAGAAGGTAATATGAAGTATTAGTCACCACAGATGTTAATGCTACTGGGTGGTAATAATTCAGGCACGTCATTTTTGCATTTATGGGGAGCGGAACAATAGTGATTTTTTTTAAGCAGGTGGGGACAATGGACTGTGACAGGAAGGAGTGTCCAGGTGGTCCAAGGCTGTATGTAGAGCTAGGGAGACAGCATCATCCACTGATCTGTTGTTCTGGTAGGCAAACTGCAAGGGTCCAGGGACTCTGTGATGGAGGAGATGGTGTGACAACACCAGCTTCTCCAGGTATTTAATCACCATAGATGTTAATGCTACTGGGCAGTAATCGTTCAGGCACGTAAGTTTGGCATTTTTGGGTGGTGGTATAATAGTGTTTTTTTAGAAGCAGGTGGGGACAAATGTCTTACGGATTTTCACTCTACTCAGAGCCTTCTGCACGTCCTGCTCTGAGAGTTTCAGAACAAACTCGCCCTGTACACTTGGGGTCTTCTCAGCAGTGTCCGAGTTCAGAGCATCAAAGTGGCTATAGAAATGGTTCAGAGATGTGATGTTTGTGTCAATCTCCTGGCTGCAGCCCTTATAGCCTGTGATTGACTGTAATCCCTGCCACAGCCATTGTGTTTCAAGCCGCACTCTGTAGCTCCGTATACCACGTTTTATGGCTTTGTATAATGCATACCGTGACACCCTGTACAGTTCTTTGTCCCCCGATTTGAACGTGGTGGATCTACCTTTTATTTTACTGTGAATGTCGTTGTTGAACCACAGTTCCTGATTGGTAAATGTCCTAATTTTGTTTTCTGGTACACAAATGTCAGTTCAATATTTAATATAGCTGGTGACTGTGTCCCAGTACTCATTTAAAACTGTGTTGGGAGCTCTGAATGCGTCCCAGTCTGTACAATCAAAGCAGTTTATTAACCTGCTTTCCCCTCCTCAGACAGTGACATGCTGAATGTATTTTTGCATATTTATTGAACAAATATCAATGTTTGTGTGCAGCTGAGCTCCTCCATAGACAGTGTCCTGTGTCTTTGTCTTCACCCTCAGCAGCTGCAGTAAGTCCCAGCTGCAGCAGTGCTGTCGCTGTGCAGTCCTGCTGAGGGAAGTTTTTGTACGAGTGTGTAACACTGTGTGGACACAGGATCACTGTGGAAACTCTGACAGTAATAATCTGTTGCATCTTCAGCCTGGACTCCTGTGATGGTCAGAGTGAAGTCAGTCCAAGATCCACTGCAATGCTCTGGGATCCCAGGCTGACGGGTAGTCACTCCATAGATCAGGAGTTTAGGAGCTTCTCCAGTTTTCTGTTGGTACCAGTTTAGGTAATTATTGCTGTACACCGCAGGACTGGTACTACTGCTCATAGTAACTGTCTGTCCTGGAGCAGTAGATTTCACTGTTGGAGCCTGAGTCACAGTAACCTGTCCACTGGATTCTGTAAATCATTAAAACAAAATATGATAGCCATACAAAAAACAATATATTCATAAGATATTCACAATTTTGGATTTTGTAATTTTGTTGTCTTCAACTAAATTAACTCAACTCCTATTTTTCCACATGAAATAAAATGTTGTACAATTTTTAAAATATCCAAGTCCAAATCTACCCTGAGCAGTGATGAGGAGTGTCCAGAGGAAGATGGTAATGAAAGTCGTTGTTGTGGGTTCTGTTGTCATGAAGGGCAGCTCTCAGTCATGAAGTGTTAAACTCACAGGGCTATAAACACTCCCAGAGCACTGAAGCATGTGCAGCCAATGCAAAGTGTCTCTTCTATGCAAATTGTCTTCCTGGGTTCCACAGCACTTGTAGCCAGTCAGTGCTGGAAACACAGGCTTGGTGCTGTGTGTTGTGACAAGGCAAGATGAGCAGTTTAGCATAAACACTCCAAAGACAGCAGGACTAGATAGAGAACAGCTTTATAAGGGGCAGAAGATGAGACACAATCAGATGAACCTTTATTCCACTCAACACAGCAGGAATGGAGTAGGGAAAGAAGACACTTGTTAAAGTAACACTTATCTTTGTGTCTTCATATACAACAAAAAATGTCTTAACTTACTCTATGAACATGTAAGCCATGCTATCTGTCATAGGGGTATACAGTTGTATGCAAAAGTTTGGGCACACCTGGCCATATTACATGTTTTGTTGATTTTCTAAGTGAAAACAAGTTAACACAACTTCTGCAGCGAACAAACTTAAACTTGACAAATTTCAGCAAATTTTAATGCACAGTTACTTTTTATTTGCTGAATTTAACAGACTAAAAATAAACCAGTAAATGTGGCATGTGCAAATGTTTGGACACCCTGTCAGTCAGACAGACTGTCAGACTGCCCCTTTGGCAGAAATCACAGCCTCCAAACATTTCTTGTAGCCAGCCAACAGTCTTTCTATTCTTGTTTTAGGATTTTTTTCCCACTCTTCCTTACAGAAATATTCCTAGGACATCTTGCATGCATTGCATGTTTGAAATCTACCCTCAGATTCTCAATAAAATTCAAGTCGGTGTCTATGAAGGCCATTCCATAACTTTTCATTTCATCAAAATCATTCATTTCTTGATGTAGTTCATGGTTGATTTTGAGGTATGTTTTGGATCATTGTCTTGTTGTAATATCTAAGCTCTTTTCAGCTTCAGTTTCTTCAGTGACTGTGGGACATTAGCCTCCAGGTTTTGTTGATACTTAGTAGAATCTATTCTTCCCTCTACCCACACAATATTTCCTGTGCCACGGGCTGCCACACAACCCCAAAGCATAATAGATCCACCTCCATGCTTAACAGTTGGCAAGGTGTTCTTTTCTTCAAATACTTCTTCTTTTTTTTTCTAAATGTACCTTTGGTGATTGTAGCCAAAGAGTTCAAGTTTTATTTCATCAGACCACGGCACTTGGTTCCAAAATGCCACTGGCTTATCTAAGTGTTATGTTGCATACTTCGGACATTGGCTTTTGTGATGAGATTGCGGGTAAGCTTTCCTTCTGATGACTCTTCCATGCAGATCGTGTTTGTGCAAGCAACGCTTCACAGTGGACCGGTGCACCACTACTCCTGTGCCAGCTAAACCTTCCTGCAGGTCCTTTGCAGTGATATGGTGGTTTTGCTTTGCATTCCTGACCAGTCTACGAGCAGTTCTATCTGAGATTATTCTTGGTCTTCCAGATCTTGTCTTGATTTCATTAGTTCCCTTGACTTCCATTTCTTAATGACATTTCGGACAGTGGAAATTGCACACAGGAAGCATTTAGATATCTTTTTATAGCCTTCCCCTGCTTTGGAAGAGTCAATTATCTTGACTTTATCCTATTTTCTTATCCTCAGTCAGCTGCTTTGAGCAGCCCATGGTTCTTGAGTGTAAGCACAACAACCTGAGAGGTTTGAAGAGTCAGAGAATTTCTTACTTTCTGGAATTGTCATCACTTGACGAGTCAATTAAGTTCTGAGACCTTACAAAAAAATAACACTAGTGGATCAACTGGAAGGGTACCCAAAATTTTGCATATGCCACATTTAGTGCCACATTTAGTCTCTTAAATTTAGCAAATAAATAGTAACTGTGCATTACTATTTGTATAAATGTCACATTTAAGTTTCTTCGCTGCAGAGGTTGTGTTAACTTCTTGTCACTTAGAAAATCAAAAAAATATGTAATTTGGCAGGGGTACCCAAACTTTGCATAAAACTGTATGTGCTCAACCTAAGAGAGACCCCCTATTCCAGAGACAAGATCAGAAACTTGGGGCCATTGCTTAGCAAGGAATGCAAGACAAAAACCTTTGTTAAGCATCAGTTTTAAGAATCTGGGGAAATATATGTTAAAATCATTCATACAGACACCAACGTTTACCATTCTGTTGGTCTATTAAAAGAAAAAATCAAATTGTTATGATTTCTTAATCACATATCTTTTATCTCTTTGGGGTATGGAAGCACAGACATCCTAACAAGGAAAAGACTTAAACACATTGTTACGAAGGCCTCAAAGATCACTCGCACTGCTCTCTCCACAGTTAAATCCTTGTACACCCAACATATCACCATGCGCACTAACAAGATTAATGCAGATCCATCTCACCCCGCGCATGACTTATTTCAGCTGCTCCCCTCTATTTCAGGTAGATGTTTCAGATCAATGACATCCAAAACTTCACATTTAAAGAACAGCTTCTTCCCATCTGCTGTTAGGCTGCTCAACAAGTAATGTGCCCCCAACCATCAGAAACTTAGTATTGTGATTTATGACCTGTATCACATTTAAATTGCACTGATTTGTCAATAGTTTTATTCCATGCGGAAAAGAGAAGAAGGAAAACACAACCTTTCGGTCATGGAGCCTTCTTCAGGTGTGAGAAAGACAGTAAGCAAAGGTAATGAAGCATAGGAGAACAAAACCTGGGAGAGAGGAGGAGGGAGGGGGGGAGCAGGGGACAGAAAGAGAGGCCAATTAGGATAGGTGAAGAGGGGTGTGAAATGAAACCTACAATAAATAGAGAGAATTAAGAAGAAAATTAGTCTGTCAGTGAGAGAAGGGGAAGGTGTGATCCTAGCTGCAGGATAATTTTAGTTTCTGTAATCTTTCTGATGTGGGAGTTAAGAAAACCATCTTTGAGAACACAGACGGAGAGATTAGTGTGATCATGGCCGTCAGAGGTGAAATGAGAAACAATAGGCTTGGAGAAATCTTTAATCTTCACAGCCCTAACATGTTCTCTTAAGTGGTGTCCGAGTCTCCTTCCTGTTCCCCCAATGTAGATGGCTGGGCATTTACTGCAAGAGATGCAGTAAATAAGTTTGCTGGAGGTACAAGACGTCATCTGATTGATCTGGAATTGTCCGGAGGGGCCTTGAATGAGTGTGGTGTTAGATGTGTGCTTGCAGGTGATACAGTGAGCTCTGTTGCAAGGGAAAGTGCCTGGTGCGGATGATTGCTGAGGGCGGTCAAGGGAGTTGTGAACAAGAAGGTTATGCAGATTAGGTGGTCGGCGATATGAGATGGTAGGGCGGTCAGAAAAGAGGGCCCCAATGGAGGGATAATCCTGTTGGATGGAAAAGTTGTCGTTAATAGTCCTGGGGATAGAAAGTGTGTTGGGATGATAGTGAAGAAAGATATAAGATGTGGAGAAGGGATTAACTGATTCCTTTCTGCACAAGGACTGGACTTCTTGTGACTCAAGACATTCCAGTCTTAGAGTTATGACAGGAAAGAGGGATAACTGATAAGGATTCCAGATGCCAGCTAGAACCCCCCCCCCAAGGAAGGAAACCTAAAACTGACCATTAAGAGTGGTCAAAGCCTGGGGGCCTGTCCGAACACCGTGACCTCTCCTCATTACCATGGAAACGAGCTGCGTCAGAAGCGCCAGAAAACGGCTATATAAACTAGAAGTTTTGTACCAGTATTTCGAACAATACTTCAGTTGTATTGTTCCTTGCATGCAATAAAACTCATCTGTTTAAACTTCATCTCGGGATCCAGAACTTATTTGTCTGTTACAACAGCAGGGAATCACCAAAGGAATGCGGTTTTTACAGCGGGAGTTCCTGATTGAGTTGATGGTCCGAGGAGTGTTTTTGGCTGGGACAAGGGCCCTGTCAATAACACTGCTAGGGTATCCTCTGTTGATGAAAAAATAGTACATTTTGAGGGCTTGGTTCCCTCAAAATCAGCCACCCACCTGATTTGTCTATGTTTACATTGCATTTGCACATGCGATTATAGGGTGATTTTTTATGTGCTATACTAACAACAATTTCCACTGGCCTCGGTCATGTGGCAATAAAGATTCTATTCTGTTCTATTTATACTGAAAATAAACACAACCAACTGCATTAAACCTCAAGACACAAGGGATATCAAAGCAAATGCCAAGATATCACTTGTTTGGCCTTGAATTACACTTTTATTAATAATAGAAACAGATGAAACAATTACAAGAAGCATTACTATCATAATTTAATCAATAGATTATTCTGAACCAATTATATTGATTGAGGACCCAAAGCTGGAAAACTGAGTGGCCAAGAATGGATGAAGTACTGGATGTGTTTCCACTTCACATACTTCATTCCCTAAGAAAAAAGTAAACTCAAAACAAATTAAAATTAAAATTCAGGACAATAATTATTCAAGGAGAAATGGGCTGTGGTTGTTTGGTATGAAATGAATGGGCAAAAAATGGGTAGTTCAAAAATCTGAATATCAAACCCATGTGTGTTACTTTATTATGAAGTTATTGGTTTTCAAATTTTATCCTGTCTCTCCTGATAGAATCAATAAAAATTCCTGAAGGAGAAATGTGCAAATCTTAGATTGGCCAACTAGAACCGAGACGTTGGAATGTCTTTGTCTGAGGCTAATTAATTGGGCAAGCTAAGAACCACAATTTTGAAGTTTGGTCCAGGAGGACAGGAAGTCAGGACCAGGGTCGACAAGACACAAGGAAGCCAGTAGGCCAATGAAAAGAAGTACCAAACAGCTCAACTGGACCAGGGAAGCAAAATCTGATATGCTGCTCCACCCTCTCCAGCCAGCAGCACATCCACAGCAACACTGGATCAGCTCCAGAGTCACAGCAAGCTTCTCTAGTTTGTGTACCTCCTAAAAGAATAGTTTGCACTATATGGGTTCAATGCTTGATAGTGATAGCGTAAAATCTTTGTCTTGATAAGAATC